CACCCTAACAGACATGGTGTCACACATGGGTGAGAAGGTCGGGCTTGTGCATCAAATGCCCTTCGTTTGCGACAGGGACGGATTTCCTAGTGTTCTTGAAAAGGTGTGTTCCTTTTATTTTAATCATTATATATTTTTTAATAAATGAAAATGCAGAATTATATGATGCGGTTTGATAAATAATCCCCGAGAGGTTGCGTAAGCAGCTTATAATTCCAAATTTTGACGCGCAGTTGGAATAAATATAGAACCCCTCGTGTTCCGGTCGTGATAAGATTTTTTTCAATATAAATTTGTCCGGAAATCGGGGAAACATTTCCTGAGTAGATTTTAATGCGGGGAAATTCTGTACACAGTGTATCAGTTGTTTCCGGAATTTTTTTTTTCTTCAAAAAGTGTCTGAATCCCGCTACCCCAAGTATTTTTTTTTTAATTTCCAGAATTTGAATTTTCCGAATTTATGGGTCTCATTTTGTTTTTGTTTCATGTCTCTAACCTGAAAGGAATTTCTGTGGGGTATGAGATGTGGATAAACCATTTTCACAGCTTGTTTTTTGTTCATTTACTAGTTAAATTAAATGGAATTAACGTCGATTGTCCATGAATAATTTGGATTTTAGTTTATTCACGACCGGTAAGCGGGGATTTCCGGTGCATTTGAACAAAAACGATTGAAGATTTCTAGAGCAATTGAAATTTTTTCAAGACAATTTTATTGAAAATTTGTCGACTCTTTTTGTGAAATCAAAATCGACTGTTTTGACAAATGTCGGTGAAATTTTTGGAATTTTGCTGGACGTGAGTGTACAACGTTTTCCTCGTGAATAACTCGGTACAAGAAAGCATTGTTCGCCGTGTGTGACACAATTGTTGATTTTTCCAAGTTTTTGCACTTTCCGTGCTAAATTTAAATTTTTAGCGTGACATTGATTCTTAATTTTCATGAATTCCTTTCAAACTGCGTCGCCGGACTTCTAAACTTACGAGTGACTGATGGAAGATAATTTTAATCAATGCTCGTTGAATTTCCGATGACCTGGGAATTTGCTCCAATTTACCTGCATTGTTTTCCTGTAAGCAGTAAAAAAAAATAGTAGAAAATAAGAAAGTTTCTTGTCGGAATTCCGTAGTAAAGCCGCAGTCGAATACATATGGGATCCCTCGTGTAATTTTCTCGTAAGAAGAAAAGAAAATAATAAATGAGTCGATTCATTCGGAGGAATGTGGAAAGGAAAAGGTGCTGTACTGTACTTGTACTGTGCTGGATTCGGAAGTTAATTTGGAATTCCTGTCGGGAACCAGGTTTACTTCGGGACGTGCGTGGCGCGGATTTATTTGGCGGCGGATTTGCTGGGCATCAACTCCGTGACGGGCATGTCGTGCATTTTCCGCAAGTCAATCGTGGACGAACTCGGGGGATTGAAGGCGTTCGGCTGTTACCTGGCCGAGGACTATTTCCTGGGACTAGGCATTCAGAAGAAGGGGTTCAAGCTTCGGGTCACGTCGCAACCCGCGTGGCAGAACCCCGGGCCGAGTGATATTCCGTCGTTCCAGGCCCGGATACGAAGGCATGTGGTTTTTTTTTTCTCGCTTCATTCCTAATTATTTTTTTTTTCTTGTGTACAATGTTTTGTTTGGGCCATTGTGCGGGTTTTTTTGTTATTCTTTTGGTCTCCTCTTTTTTTTTCTTGACTTTTTTGTTGTTTGTTTGTTTGTTCGTGCAAAATCTTGAAAAAAATTTCAGAATGCAGTTGAACCTCTTTGAGTCGAATTTTCAAGGGTCCAGCAAAAAAGAAAAAATACGAGTTAGGGAAACAAGCATTTCTTGTTGTTGGAAAAAAATAGAAGAATTGCACAAAGTTGTAAATGGTGATTTTTTTAGCATTAAATTGTTTCTTGGATGAGTTGATGGGATGCTGAAGTTCGCGGCAAGGGTTCATTTGCCACATTAGTCCTTCACTTTTTTTTTGTGAAAACGCGTTAAATTTCTTTTTTATAGATCTTATCTTTTCTTTGTCAAGAGTTTGATAGCCAAAGGCATCAGGTGATTCGATTTATGGAGGTTTGAGAGGAAAAGCCTTTTGAGTTTGAGAGGTTTTTAGTGCATTGTTTCTAAGGGAATTCAGACCGGGACTCGAAAAAAAATCATCTTGGGAAGGTTCGAGTTATGTAGGTTCAACTGTATATTGAAAATATTGATAATAGGCTTCATTCATATACTGTGTATATATTTTTGTGTGGTTTTTTCTTATTTTGATCTCTTTTTTTCCGAGCTTTGCTTCTTTTGTGCAGAATCTTTTAAATTTTGTAAAAAAAAAAA